AGGAAGGAAGGAAGGAAGGAAGGAAGGAAGGAGAAAAGGAAGGAAGGAGGAAGGAAGGAGAAAAGGAAAGAGGAAGGAAGGAAGGAAGGAAGGAAGGAAGGAAGGAAGGAAGGAAGGAAGGAAGAGAAAGAAAAGAAAAAGAAAGAAAACCAAGAAAATATACAATTTTCTTGTAATACAATTCTAAGTGCTAAATTTAGGGGAAAGCATTTACAGTATATACAAATTCCCCAAATAGGTTCTGTTATCTCAAGAAAGCTAGGTATTTTGCCAGAAAAACTTCCTAATATCTCTTACCTAGTAACCAGTCACAGTACTCGGCTTTTTAATTTTCTAGTAAATCCTACATTCCTAAGAACACGGCATGTGTCTGTTCTGGGTACCACTTACCTGTGTTTGTGATACTGTAGTCTTCATTCTTCCTTCTCATGTGGTAAATAACAATGACCCAGATCAAAGAGGTACCCACAACACAGCAGACCACAACAATGATGACAATGCCAACTGTGGTCCAACCATCATCTTCATGCCCAATGCTATTCTGAGAAGAGTCACAGTTGGAGGATGAAATGACATTTAAGTAAATATGTCCTCGTTCTGTCCCAAGAGTGTTAGACATAATACAGGTATATTTTCCAGCATCTTCTAGCCCAGCATCTACAATGATGAGAAGCTGATTGGCTGCAGCAAAGAAGTGCCGTTCTGTGACTAGGAGTGGCCCATCATCTTTGGTCCAGTTGAGTCGAGGAGCAGGACTCCCTCCAGCTATGCACTGCAATACCGCTGTTTCACCTCTGGCGACGGTCTTGTCCTCCAGAGGTCTAATAAATGAGGGTGTCTCTAACAGAAAAAGATTAAAAATACTAAGTTAGGAAATTTATACCCTAAATCTGATAGAATTAGACTATTAAAAGTATAAAACAATATGCAGTTTAACAAGGATTAACAGTTAATGTTTCAGAAACAAAAAAGAACAAAAAAAATTATAATAATAAACTAAATGTGAACTGGCTGTGTTGATGCATAGCGGTAATTCTATCTACTCTATTAAGGAAGCCAAAACAAAAGGATTACAAGTTTACAGCCATCTGGGCAACTTAGTAAGACCTTGTCTCAAAAATAAAGTAAAGCAAATGGTGGGACCTGGAAAGGATCATTCTGAGTGAGCTGTCCCAGAAGCAGAAAGACACACACGGTACATACTCACTCATATAGACATGTAATATAGGATAAATCTACTAAAATCTGTACATCTAAAGAAACTAATCAAGAGAGAGGACCCTGACTAAAATGCTCAATCCCCATCCCGAAAGGCAAAGAGGAAGGACATCAGAAGAAAGCAGGAAACAAGCTAGAAACCCGCCACGGAGGGCCTCTGAAAGGCTCTGCCCTGCAGACTCAAAGCAGATGCTGAGACTTATGGCCAACTGCTGGGCAGAGTGCATGGAATCTTATGAAAGAAGTGGGAAACAGTAAGATCTGGAGAGGACAGGAACTCCATAAGGAGAGCAACAGAACCAGAAAATTTGAACACAGGGGTCTTCCCAGAGACTCAAACGCCAACCAAGTACCATGCATGGAGATAACCTAAGACCCTTGCACAGATGTAGCCCATGGCAGTTTAGTATCCAAGTAGGTTATATAGTAATGGGAAGAGGGACTGCCTCTGATATAATCTTATTGGCGTGCTCTTTGATCACCTCCCCCCAAGGGGGGAGCAGCCTTACTAGGCCACAGAAGATGACAATGCAGCCACTCCTGATGAGATTTGATAGACTAAGATCAAAAGGAAGGAGAGGAGGACCTTCCCTATCAGTGGACTTGGGGAGGGGCATGTATGAAGAAGGGGAAGGGAGAGTGGGACTGGGAGGGGTGGAGGGAGGGGCTTATGGGGGGATACAAAGTGAATAAAGTAAAATTAATTAAAAAATGATAATAATAAAGTAAAGCAGGACCAGGATACTAGCTCGGCACAGCACTGAGTGAGCACTGGGGATTTCTGTTGTTCCTGAGCCAGGTTCCCAACTATTTATTAACCCAAGCTGACCTCAGGCTCCAAGGTAACAAACTTACTTGAAAGGTTTTTGACAGCCAAGTCAGAGGTGCTCACCTATAACACATGAGTTCTCCAGGCAAACCAGGGTCACAGAGTGAGAGAGACCCTATCTTAAAAAAAAAAAAAAAGTAGAAAAGAAGAGAGAGGAGGAGGAAGAAGGAGAAGGAGGAAGAAAGGGAAAGAGAGGAGGAAAATGAGGAGGAGGAGAAGGATGAGAAGAAAGAGAAGACCCCACAAAACTCTGATACCTAAAAAAAAAAACAGAGACCTGGATGGCATAACTTGCCTTGGATTTGAGTTACATAAAGAAACATGTTTTAACTAAGAATAACAAGGTGGCCCACACCGATAATCCCAGCACCCGAAAAGTAGGGAGAGGTGGAGGCAGTTTCAAGTCCAACCTTTCTTATATGAGACCCTGTCTCCAAAAACAAAAATGAAGAAAAACAAAAAATGAATACAACAAAATACTATTCATGAAAAATTCAAGGAAAATCCTTTTTTATTTTCTAAATTTTAGACATGTATCCTTGCTATATAGTCCAGGCTAACCTGGAGCTCACTATTTAAACCCTCCTACCCTGCTTTGGCTGTGCTGGTCACTTTGTAGACCAAGCTGGCCTCAAACTCTGAGATCCGCCTGCCTCTGCCTCCCAGGGTACTGGGATTACAGATGTATGCCACCATGCCCACTGGACATTTTTAAAGAATTAATATTAAGGTTATGTGGAGCACACAGAAAAGATAGAAAATCTAACCAGAAGACAAATAATTTTTTATTTTAAATTTCTTCTTAATTAGAGAAAAGATAAACTTTCTTAGGTTTTGTATGTAGCTGTACCAAATGGTTGGGATCCTTCTAGGAAAAGCAGAACTCCCCCATACATACTCACTGAACAATTAAAAAACAAAAAACGAACTAACAAAACCCAATAATATGCAAATTAAAACATTAAAGAGGAAACATAAAAGAATAAAGAGAGCTGAAGCTTTTGATAAAGATATGTGCCCTGGGTATGTTCCAAGATTTAGGTCATTTGACCCAAAAATACTATTCCCTCAGCTGACATAACCCTGTATAAAGTAGCAAAATAAGAACAACACTGTAAGCCTGGTGGTAGTTGCACACGCCTTTATCCCAGCACTCGGGAGGCAGAGGCAGGTGGATCTCTGTGAGTCTGGGGCCAGCCTGGTCTACAGAGTGAGTTCCAGGACAGCCAGGGCTACACAGAAAAACTGTCTTGATGGGAGGAAGAACTCTACAACCTAAGCCTCCAAATTGTTTCCCTTGCCTTCCAAAGCCATGTATAGCTCTGAGGCTCCAGTGAGGCAGTGGTCCTACCAAAGTACACTTACCTAACACTGTAAGTGAGGCATTTGCTGAGAGGCCTCCTGCTATATTCTGTGCCATGCAGCTGTAGATTCCCATGTCTTCTATCTTCACATTGGCAATGAAGAAGACATCATCCTCGGGCATGACATGCATGCGTCTTTCTCGGGCTGCAGGAAAGTCAGTGCCACCGTCTTTCTGCCAGGAAATCTGAGGTGCTGGGTGGCCCTCTGCAGCACATTCTAATCTCGCCATGGCACCAGTGCGAATAGTTAGATCCATTGGAGTTTTCAGAAAAGATGGCATCTCTGTTCCAAAAACAGTACAGAAAAAGTAGGCAAAGGGAAAACATGCATGCCCACAAATCTAATAATCTTGTAGGCAGAATTCTGATGTAAAATGCTACACTTCTTTGAGAAACCATATCCTCTGGACTAACAATGAACACAGCATTTGACACTGTCTTTCTCACTGCCCTTCAGTGTGTAGAGCACAGTATTTCTAGAATACATATCATGTCCATCTGACCATGCTGACGGAAAGAAGAAAACCAGAAAGCCAAAAACTTTTCTGAATGCCAATTTAGAACTTAGTATTTAATACTACTCTTTCACTTACGACAGTCAAGTGATGCACTCGAATCTAATATCAACAGATATCAAGACAACTGTTTCAAAAAACATTATTCTTTAAGAAATCTCACTTAAGAAAAAAAGGAATATAGCTGGGCATAGTGGCACATGCTTTTAATTTCAGCACTTAGGCAGGCAGAGGCAGGTGGATCACTGTGAGTTCAAGGCCAGCCTGGTCTACAAAGTGAGTTCCAGGACAGCCAGGGCTACAAAGAGAAACCCAAGCCTGTCTTGAAAAACAGAAGGAAGGAAGAAAGGAAAGGAAGAAGGAAAGGTGGGAAGGAAGGAGGGTGAGAGGCAGGGGGGAAGGAGGGAAGGAGGGAAGGAGGGAAGGAGGGAAGGAAGGAAGGAAGGAAGGAAGGAGGAAGGAAGGAAGGAAGGAAGGAAGGAAGGAAGGAAGGAAACACACACACAGGAGTCAGGTGTGGAGCTGGAGAGTGGTCTTAGTGGTAAAGAGCACTCATTGCTCTTGCAGGACTGGGGTTCAATTCTCAGCACCCACATGACAGCTTACAACTGTGTTACTTCAGTCCTGGGAGATCAATGCCCTCTTCAGGCCTTTGTGGTACCAGCCATGCATGTGGTGCAGACATAAATGATAGCAAACTGATACACATAAAATAATAAAACAAGCTCTTTAAAAAATCCGGAAATTAAAAAAAGAAACACGAGAACAGAAGCACAAGCATATCTTTTGACTGCATGCAGCCTAAAATGGAGTACTTACTCAATTTCATAAACGGACCAAGCTGCTTTAGAATAATTTTTTATAACCACTAAGAGAGTTTTATTTTCAAGATGGTTCTCACTATAACCAGAGATCTACAAAGACCACCGGACCCAGAAATGTCCTAAACGTTCTCAAGTTTTAGAGGATACTGTAAACAATATTAGAATAGTTTTCAGAGAATTGTGGTTTTGGAAAGAAATTGAGACCATCAGAAGAATGTCTTCAGGACAAAGAAAAATGGAAATAAAGTATCTCCTAGGGCAAAGAAGAATGGAGGCTAGAGGGCAGTGGGCAACCCAAAGTCCACCCCTTTCTGTATCGTAACCGAGAGAAAAGTAAGACCCCTCCAAATGTGAGGCATGACATAATTTTCTTGGTCAAGGAATTCATAATAATGTAACAAATATCTATATTCCAAAGCACTTTGCCCATCAGCATAGACATAGACATGGTGTATATTCTAGAAATACATAAGTAAAAAAGCAAGTATTTTAAAAGTCAAGTAGCGCCATTCCTTACCATTCACAGTCAGCTTGGCTTTCTGAGAATAATTAGAACCAAAGTGATTAGTAACAATACACTGGTATTTCCCTTCGTCTGTGAAGTTCACACTAAAAAGGTGCAAGACACTAGTATATTCCAGAGCTTCTCCAGCCTGCTGCCGATAGCGAACAAAGTTCTCGATGTCCACATCATACAGGATCTCACTGTCTTTGCGCCACACAGTGGACATGGGTGAATCACTGCTGCTCACAGCAGTGCACGTCAGAGTTACGTTAACACCTCTTAATGCAACTGTGCTTTCAGGATGTGTCCTTATCTGAGGCTTCAGAAAATCATCTAAAGGAAATAAGTGTAACAGTGGCCAAGTCAGTTACTTATTGTTATTTCTGATCCGAGTTTATAAACAAAGACTGTAACACTGTAAGTTCCATTCACAGAGGCTATGTAATACTGAAGGACACTGTAGAGCTGGAATCAAATCCCTTCTTAAAACTGAGGAAAATCAACTCCAGATGTCGGTTTGCTCAAAGGCTTCAAACAGTGACAAAGGTGGCTGGACTCAGGTTCTGGACGTCAGCACCCAGAGCTCTTCCCACCATCCCTCAGGAATCTACTATTTCCTAAGAATTACCTATGGGGGGTGGGGGGGTTAAGGATGACAGAAACCTTATGTAACAATTTCAAGGTAAGTTCTAATTCTATCATCCCATACATATAAATATATATATTTATATATAATGATATTATGTCCCATATATAATGATATATATACAAAATATTTATAATAACCATTATCCTTTCTGTATAATAAGAAAATGGGAATATAAACCTACTCATTTTCATGGAGACTACTAATAAATACATGACTTGAAAGTACTTTGTACATAGCTTCAACATTATAATACTCAAGAATACTCAGTGGGAGGGCATCTCTGGGACAGGGGAGGCTCCCAAGAGTCTATGGAGGGGACCCTAAATGAGACTCCTAGCAGCGGAGAGTATGTGTAGCTAGGCAGAACTTCCAGTGACGGGATGGGGACACCAACCCACCCATAAAACCTTTGACCCAAAAATTGTCCTGTCTGCGAGAAGTGTAGGGATAAAGATGGAACAGAGACTGAGGGAAAGGCAAACTATTGGCCCAACTTGAGACCTATCCCATGGGAGAAAGGCAATCCCTGTCTCTATTAATGATAACTCTGCTATGCTTGCACACAGGAGACTCCAGCAGCTGATGGAAACAGATTCAGAAACTCACAGCCAAACAACAGGTGGAGCTAAGGGAGTCTTGTGGAAGAGTGAAAGAAAGGGTTGAGGGAGCCAAAGGGGTCAAGAAGACCTACACAGTAAACTAGCCATGGCCCATGGGGGTTAACAGAGGCTGAACTACCAACCAAAGAACATACAGGACTGGATCTAGGCCCTCTACATATATGTAGTTGTGCAGCTGGTATTTCATGTGGGTCCCCTAAGAAATAGAGTAGGGGCTGTCTCTGACTCTGTTTCCTGCCTTTAGATCCCTTTCCCAAAGCTGGGCTGCCTCATCTGGCCTCAGTGGGAGAGGATATGCTTAGTCCTGCTAAGCCTTAATGTGCCAGGGTATGTTGGTACCCATGGGGGCTTCTCTCTGAGAAGGAGAGAGAGGAATGGGGGAAGGAGGTGTGAGGGTAGGACTTTGTGGAGAGGATGGAGGGGGCTGCACTAAGGCTGTAAAGTGAATAAATAAATGAAAAAAAAAAAAAAACACCCAAAAAATAGTGAAGATACAAAAAGGATAAACATGCAAGTGAAAACTGGTTTAGGACTAGTTAGTGTACTATGGAATCATAAATAAAACGTTCTAGATTGAGAGGCTGCTATAGAAATTCTGAACCAGTGGAGCATGGTGGTGCATACCTTTAATCTCTGCACTTGGGAAGCAGAGTCAGAAGGATCTTGGTGGGTTCGAGGCCAGCCTGGTCTACAAAATCAGTCCAGGACATCCAGAGCTCTTGTTACACAGAGAAACCCTGTCTTGGGGGGTGGGGAGAGAATGCTGAACCAGTATCTTCACTAGGTAACATTCTACTGTGCCTTAAAAGATGTAATTGGAATAGTATAAAACACATAGTATGAGCCAGAGTGGTAGCACACATCATTAATCTCAGCAGACGCAGGCAAATCTCTGAGTTCCTGACCAACCTGGTCTGGTCTGCATAGTTAATTTTAGGCCAGCCAGGGATATATAGTGAGACGCTGTCTCAAAAACATAGTATGTCTTACATTAAAACCAAGTCAAAGGGAATGTGTGACAATGTAAACAGAATTCAATCCATTGTAAAGAGAATTTAAGCATAAAAAAATTTCCAAGTTGTGAAAGAAAATTACAGATTTCTGAAATTAACTATGTTATATTCAGGGTGGTTGGAGGTGGCATATGCCTTTAACCCCAGCATGTGGGAGGCAGAGTCAAGATCTCTGTCTTGAAAAACAAACAAAAGAATTATATTCAGAACACACCATCTATGACTACCTCTACTGTCTCAAAGATATGCTAACACTCTGAGTCTTTTTTGTTTTTGTTTGAGACATGGTTGTTCCATGTATCCCTGGCTGTCCTGAAACTCACTCTATAGACCAGCGTGGCCTCAAACTCAAGAGATCTTCCTGCCTCTGCAGATTAAAGGTGTGCCCCAACAGTGCCTGGCCACGTTGAGTCTTGGGAAACTGCATAAAGGGGCAAGAACAGTTAGGAGCACTGGCTGTTCTTACAAAGAACCCAGGTCAGTCCCCAGCACATCCCAAGTAAGAATCTTTTGCAACTCCAGTTCCAGAGGATCTGATGCCCTCTCCAGGGCTCCATGGGTACTGCACAAACGCAGCGGACAGACATGCGTGTAGGCAAAACACCTATACACATGAAATAAAATAGATTAATCTTTTTAAAAAAAGAAAAAAGGAAAGACATTCCATCAAGGCCAGAGAAATGGCTCAGTGGGGAAAAGAATTTGCCAGAAAGCCTAACAACATGAGTTTGCGTTCTGGAACCCTCGTGATGGAAAAAGAGGGTTTTTTTTCCCTCTTTTTGGGATAGACAACTTGACTATCCCAAGTTGTCTGTCCTTTTACCAAGAAACTACATACAAAAAAAATGAAACTGGTGGTTATAAACACACACACACTTGTAACTACAGCACTGCTGATGGCCACATAAACTAATGCCTTTTCAAAAAATCTCTTGGTGATTCTTTTCAGACTATACTAAAAGTCTTCACAAAAAAAAAAAAAAAAAGCATTGATTCAGAAGCCTGTCATATATCCTAAAGTTAATAATTCCCTTCAAATTAAAGCCGACATTCACATTGCCACTAAAGATGATCATTCAAAGCCAATGAGAAGGCAGCATTGAGAGGATCCTTGTGTTACGAAAAGGAAAAAAAAAAAAAAAAAAGGCACTCAGGAGGCAAAAGCAGGTGGATCTCTGTAAGTTTGAGGCCAACCTGGTCTACAGAGCGAATCCAGGATGGCCAAGGCTACACAGAGAAACCCTGTCTGAAAAACAAACAAACAAACAAAAGAAAACAGTGAGAACTGTTTGAAGCACTATATGATCAAAGAACACAACATGTAGCCTGTATTATGTAATCATCGAGACATGGTGTGGAGAACAACACAAGGACATAAGGTGTGCTAGTCGAAAGCCATTTGGGGTGGTGGCATTGTTATTGCTTCAGTCCCTTTCTTTTGTTACAACAGTTTAGAGGCATTTAAAAATTTTTAAACAGAAATACAAACCACAGACAAAATCTTTCAGGTCCACATTCAGGATGCTTTGTCCTGCTAACCATTCAGGATGTGCACAGCTTACATTCACAGAACGATGAAAGTTGTTATCCACCAGCCACTGAAGTAACCACTTCAAATGACAATCACAGAGCAAACTGCTTGTGTTCAGAACGCTGCAGAAAGAAAACAAGGAAAAGAACCTTTAATTTTAGCTTTATTCTAGGTTCTTCAGGGTAACCACACATTTAAGCATCTACTTGTCAAAAACTGTTCATCTGGGCTGGAGAGATGGCTCAGCTGTTAAAAGTACTAGCTGCTCTTCCAGAAGTCCTTAGTTCAATTCCCAGCATCTTATCACCATCTATAATGGGACCTGATTCCTTCTTCTGATATGCATGAAGACAGAACACTCATATACATAAAATACATGAACAAACAAATCTAAAAAAGGTTTATCTAATTATTAAAAAACTTAAGACAATTAGCCTTAATAATACGTTAGTGTTCCAAAAAAAAAAAAAAAAAAAAAAAAAAAAAAAAAAA